ATAACCAACCATCCATCCACCCATCCACCCACCCATTCACCCATGCACCTAACCATCCATCCATCCAGTCATATAACCAACCATCCATCCATCCATCCATCCACCCACCCACCCATTCACCCACGCATCCATCCATCCATCCATCCATCCATCCATCCATCCACCCACCCATTCACCCATGCATCCATCCATCCATCCATATCCCCTCCCATTCATCTACCCATCTATCCATTCACCCATCCATCCATTTATCCATCCATCTACCTATCCACCCAACCATCCATCCACCCATTCAACCAACCATCTACTTATCCATCCATGCACCTATCTATCCACCCAACCATCTATTCATCTACCTGTCCATCCCTCCACCTACCCATCTGTTCATTCATCCATTGCTCCACCCCCATCCCTCCATCCATCCACCCATCAAGTTAATTTTTATTGAAATTTAGTATTTACTGAAAATCTACTAAGGGTCAGACTTTAGAATAAAAATATGACAAAAACATAGTTGTTGTTGTACTTGAGAATGTGTGACCTTATGTAGTAAGAAGAATGTGGGATACAAAAATTATGCAACAATTTAGCAGGTGCAGTGATGGGTACTTATTGTGGCAGCAGTGAGGAGGAATGGAGGGAAGAGGAGAGCAGGCAGGCTCCCTGGAGGAGGAGGTATGTACTAGAGACCTCATTCACTTGCTGGGTGACCCTGAACATATCTTCAATCTCTTGACCTCAGGTTCTCCATTTATGAAAGGAGAGTGGGGTCAGCCCAGGCCTAGAATTCCCTGCGTAAGCCCAGGCTGGCCGGGGAGCCCACACTAGGCCAGGTTTAGCATGTACGCTCCAGGATGTACTGCAAGGGAGTTGGAAGGGATCCGGGGAAGAGTCAGCAGGGGAGGTGCTACAGGTCTGTGGGTGATTTTGGGGGACGGAGGCAGCCTAGAACCCCCGCCCTACAGCACCTGCAGCGCCCTGGCTGTGAAAGCACCAAGGGCAACACGGGGCATGTCTGCAGAGTTCAGAGCGGCTGAGTGGGATTTGCAAACGAGGCTCTGCCAAACCTCAGACCGTACTGAGAAAGGAGGTAGTTACCGCGGTGGCTGCAGGAGCTGGCGCTCAGAGAGGTGAGGGACCCATGTCTGTGTCCTGCCTGCTCCACATGGGGGGCTGAGAACCCGGGGCCCATGCTGGGCTTGACCTCTGCCCATCTGCGAGCCCCTTGCTTCCACCACAAGTGGCCGCCATTATGCTGGTTTTGCAGGTGAGGGACAGAGAGGTGGGTGACCTGTCCCAGGTCAGTAGCTGCGTGGGGGGGTGGGGCACAACCTCAGCTGGAGACCACTCGCCTCCAAGAACACCACCTCTCCCACCAGCCACACTGTGCGCGGAGGCCCTCCTGGCCGGGGTCTGTAGAGGGTCTGCACCATGGGAGGCCGGACACTGGGGGTGCCGTCTCCCACTTCCCACAGGGCCAGGCATCCCGGGAGACCTGGGGGGGCATCACTGCCAACATCCAGTGAAAGACTGCATGCAGAGCTGCCCCCCCAGGAATGAGGGGCGTCCTGCTCCTGCTCAGGTGCATCTCACCCCGACACTGGTGCTGACTGATGCTTACTAAGTCCGCACCCCCACCCGGGGCTGTTCTGAGCGCTCAGTACCACGTGTTTCCAGCCCCGGGGCCCATGTGAGAACCTCCGGTGGGGGAGGGGCTCTGCACCACGGACTCCCGACGGGTAAGGCTGCTCTGCCCGCAGGACCGCAGCTCGGCAGCGGGAACAACACCACAAGTTCTGGAACATGATGTGGGGTGAAGGGAGCCAGATGCAAATGGTTCCACATGGCATGGTTCCATTTACAGAAAAGTCTAGAAAATGAAAACCAATGTGTGACAGGAAGGAGATGAACAGTGCCTGGGGCAAGGGTTGGAGGGGGGCCTGAGGGAGCCTGTTGAGGGGACGCAACGTTCCGTCTCCTGGCTGTGGCTGGGGTCACGGGGTGCAGGCATTTGCAACACTGCACGCTTAAAACGGGGGCGTGTTGTTACGTGTATACTGATCCTCGGAGGACGGACTTCTGGTCTCGACGCCCCTCCCTCACCTCCCCTAGGCTGACAGAAAAGAAAGCAAGCGTTGGTGAGGTGGGGGAGAAGCTGGGACCCTGGCATGTGCTCGTGGGAACGTGAGGTGACAGCTGCTGGCCACACGAGGGTGGCAGCTTCAAGTTCAAACGGAACGGAACAAAAAATGTGGAATCGCCACGGGAGCCAGCCATCCCGCTTCCGGGTCCAGCCCCCCAAGAGCCGGAGGCGGGGGCCTGAAGAGATGCTCACTCGCCCACGTTCACAAACAGGATTCACAACAGCCGAGAGGCGGGAGCGACCCACGTGTCCACGGATGGGTGACGGAGAAACACTATGTGGCACATCCACACCGTGGGATAGCGTGGGTCGTAACTGGGCTGGCACCTGCTACCACACGCGTGGACCTCGAGGACGTGATGCTGAGCGACATGAGCCAGGGGCAAAAGGACAGATACTATACGACTCCCCGGAGGAGACA